TTTTTTTTTTTTTTTTTGAGATGGACTCTCGCTCTGTTGCCAGGCTGGAGTGCAGTGGCGTGATCACTACAACCTCCGTTTCCCAGGTTCAAGCGATTCTCCTGCCTCAGTCTCCCGAGTAGCTGAGATTACAGACGCACACCACCAGGCCCGGCTAATTTTTGCATTTTTAGTAGAGACGGGGTTTCACCATGTTGACCAGGCTGGTCTCGAACTACTGACCTCAAATGATCCACCCGCCTCGGCCTCCCAAAGTGCTGGGATTACAGGCGTGAGCCACCGCACCTGGCCTGTGTTATTTCTAGATAACATGTCATCCTGGCTTTGTGACTAATTTGATGCATAAGTGAGTGGTGTAACTTGTCAGTCTGTTTTTAAATGTAACTTCTTAAAATACCAGCAGCATTTAATTTATGTATATATGATACTGGCTTGTATCTGACGTGGCTATCAGAAAAGAAAGCAGAAAAATCAAACTTGCCTTTTTCACCGGGAGTATGGGGGCTGCTTCGACCAAATCGTGCGCGTGCAGGCTCCATGTGCTGGGTAGCGGCTGTCCGGCCACAGCCTGTCGGTTGCATCCTGCTCCTCTACAGAGGTTTCTCCAGAAAAAGAACAGATGGAGAGGTGAAAGTAAGTAAAAGCGGCACTTTAAAACTTTGAGTGCTGGGTTTCTAAATTTATATTCTGAAAGGCATTAATCTCTTTTTGAAAATGTTTTATGCAAGCCTAATATACATACAGTATCAACCTCATTTTAGAAGCAATTACGACAGAGCTTAGGAACAGAATTTACGTAAACGACCTCCTTCCAGAAGATGCTACTAAACCAACAAGATTTAAATCCCTCTCCCTAAGAAGGGCAGGGCGAGCCACTGCAAAGGCGCACGTTTCAGCCTGGCCATTCCGCAGTGGGAACGCAGGCTTTCCACGCTGCAACAGACCTGTGCTCTCAAGACAGTCTCTTCCGTGACGAGCAGGCGCTTAGGACTACCTGTACCTTCAGACATTATGGTGCGTTTGGCCATGTCATTTGTCATAGGTGTAAAAACCACTACAACCGAGAGCCCGAAGCTGCTGGGATGAGCACCTGCCGCGGAACTGCATTCTCGCGCTCCTTCCTGCTCTTTCCAAGAAGCCCGGCGCGGCCGGCCAGCATCCCGCTCCCCCGGACCCCGCAGTCAGTGTGGGCAGCAGGCCCAGAGCGCTGCGAGCCCACCGTGGCGTTAGAAAGGCTGCGTCCCGACGAGCAAAGTGATTCGGCCTCCGGCTCACCCTCAAAGCTCCATCTTGTCGCCGCTTCCCTCAGGAGCAGGCGAGCTCTTCCCCAGGACCTGCTTCGCGGCTTCCCCTCGCCGGAGTACCGCCGGGCGGCGGCCTCTCTGGTCCTGCGGGGAACAGGCCGCCAGGAGGGGAGCGGCGGCCGACGGGCCTGAGGCGGGCGACAAAAAAAGTGTTTTTGTTTTTTTTTTTTTAAAAAAAGAACACACAGCTAAATAGGGCAACTAAGAATTGAGTTTTATGTGTTATGATACAATA